CCCTTAGCCAAGCTAACTAAAAGGCAGAGAGACACCACCCAAATCAACAAAATCAGAAATGAAAGGGGGGACATAACTACAGACACTGAGGAAATCCAAACAATCATTAGGACTTACTTCAAAAGTCTATATGCCACAAAATTTGAAAATCTAAATGAAATGGACAATTTTCTTGATCGATTTGACTCACCAAAGCTGAATCAGGACCAGGTAAATCAACTAAATAGTCCTATATCCCCCAAAGAAATAGAAGCAGTCATCAAAAGTCTCCCATCCAAAAAAAGCCCAGGACCAGATGGCTTCAGCGCAGAATTCTACCAGACCTTCAAAGAAGAGCTAACTCCAATTCTCTTCAAACTATTCCACAAAATAGAAACAGAAGGAACATTACCAAACTCATTCTATGAAGCCACAATCACCTTGGTACCTAAACCTCACAAAGACTCAACAAAGAAAGAGAATTTCAGGCCAATCTCCCTTATGAACATTGATGCAAAAATACTTAACAAAATACTTGCAAACCGAATCCAAGAACACATCAAAGATATTATCCACTATGACCAAGTAGGCTTCATCCCAGGTATGCAGGGGTGGTTCAATATACGGAAATCCATCAATGTGATCCACCATATTAACAAACTGAAAGAAAAAAACCACATGATAATCTCCCTAGATGCTGAAAAAGCATTTGACAAAATCCAACATCCATTCATGTTTAAAGTACTGGAGAGATCAGGGATACAAGGCACATATCTAAACATAGTAAAGGCGATATACAGCAAGCCTATAGCCAACATCAAACTGAACGGAGAGAAACTTAAAGCAATCCCACTGAAATCAGGGGCAAGACAAGGCTGCCCACTGTCTCCATATCTCTTCAACATAGTGCTGGAAGTCCTTGCTAGAGCAATAAGACAGTCGAAAGAGATCAAGGGGATAAAGATGGGAAAGGAAGAAGTCAAATTATCACTATTTGCAGATGATATGATAGTATATATGAGTGACCCCAAAAACTCTACCAGGGAACTCCTACAGCTGATAAACACCTTCAGCAAAGTGGCCGGATACAAAATTAACTCAAAAAAATCAGTAGCACTCCTGTATACAAAAGACAAAAGGGCTGAGACAGAAATTAGAGAAACAACACCATTCACAATAGCCACAAATGACATAAAGTACTTTGGTGTAACCCTAACCAAGCAAGTCAAAGACTTGTATGAAAAAAATTTCAAGTCTCTGAAGAAAGAAGTAGAGGAAGATATGAGAAGATGGAAAGATCTCCCATGCTCATGGCTTGGCAGGATTAACATAGTAAAAATGGCCATCTTACCAAAAGCAATCTACAGATTTAATGCAATTCCCATCAAATTGCCAACACGATTCTTTACAGACCTGGAAAGAAAAATTCTCAACTTCGTATGGAATAACAAGAAACCGAGAATTGCTAAAACAATCCTCTACAATAAAATATCTTCTGGAGGTATCACCATCCCTGATCTCAAGCTGTACTATGGAGCAACAGTTATAAAAACTGCATGGTACTGGCATAGATACAGAATGGTGGATCAATGGAATCGAACAGAAGATCCAGAAATAAACCCACACAGTTACGGACACCTGATTTTTGACAAAGATGCCAAAAGCATACAATGGAACAAAGATAGCATCTTTAACAAATGGTGCTGGTCCAACTGGATGTCTACATGTAGAAAAATGAAAATAGATCCATACTTATCACCCTGCACAAAAGTGAAGTCCAAGTGGATCAAAGACCTCAACATAAAACCAGACACATTAAATCGTCTAGAAAAAAAAGTGGGGAATACCCTAGAACTCATTGGTACAGGAGAAAACTTCCTGAACAGAACACCAACAGCACAGGCTCTAAGAGCAACAATCAATAAATGGGACCTCATGAAATTGAAAAGCTTCTGTAAAGCAAAGGACACCGTCATCAAAACAAAGCGACTGCCTACAGATTGGGAAAGAATCATCACCAACCCTTTATCTGACAGAGGACTCATATCCAATATATATAAAAACTAAACAAGCTGAAAAGCAACAAACCAAGTAATCCACTTAAAAAATGGGGAACAGAGCTAAAGAGAGAATTCTCTGTAGAGGAATATCGAATGGCAGAGAAGCACTTAAAGAAATGCTCAACCTCATTAGCCATTAGGGAAATGCAAATCAAAACAACCCTGAGATTTCACCTTACACCCATCAGAATGGCCAAGATGAAAATCTCAAGGGACAACACATGCTGGAGAGGTTGTGGAGAAAGGGGAACCCTTCTCCACTGCTGGTGGGAATGTAAACTGGTACAACCACTCTGGGAATCAATCTGGCGCTTTCTCAGACAACTAGGAATAGCGCTTCCTCAAGATCCAGCCATACCACTCCTAGGCATATACCTAAAAGAGGCGCAAGTACACAAAAAGGACATTTGCTCAACCATGTTTGTAGCAGCTTTATTTGTAATAGCCAGAAGCTGGAAACAACCCAGATGCCCCTCAACGGAAGAATGGATGTAGAAACTGTGGTACATCTATACAATGGAGTATTACTCAGCAATGAAAAATAAGGAAATCATGAAATTTGCAGGTAAATGGTGGGACCTGGAAAGGATCATCCTGAGTGAGTTGTCCCAGATGCAAAAAGACACTCACGGTATATACTCACTCATATAAACATACAATATAGAATAAACCTACTAAAATCTGTACATCTAAACAAACTAAGCAAAAGAGAGGACCCTAACTAAAATGTTCAATCCCCATCCTGAAAGGCAAAGAGGATGGACATCAGAAGAAAATGAAAATAGGAAACAACCACGGAACCTGCTACAGAGGGCCTCTGAAAGCCAGAAGAAAACAGGAAACAACCTTGGAATCTGCCACAGAGGGCCTCTGAAAGCTTCTGCAGTATAGACTGTCAAAGCAGATGCTGAGCCTGATGGCCAACTGATGGGCAGAGTGAATGGAATTTTATGTAAGAAGTGGGAAATAGTAAGAGCTGGAAGGGACGGGAACTCCACAAGCAGAGCAACAGAACAAGATAATTTGAACACAGGGAACTTCCCAGAGACTCATACTCCAACCAAGGACTATTTGTGGAGATGACCTGGAACCCCTGCACAGGTGTAGCCCATGGCAGTTCAGTGTCCAAGTGGGTTCCATAGTAATGGGAAGAGGGACTGCCTCTGACATAATCTGATTGGCCTGCTCGTTGATCACTTCCCCCTGAGGGGGGAGCAGCCTTACCAGGCCACAGTAGAGGACAATGCAGCCACTTTTGATGAGAACTGATAGACTAATATCAGAAAGAAGAGGAGAACCTCCCCTATCAGTGGACTTGGGGAGTGGCATGCATGCAGAAAGGGGAGGGAGGGTGGGATCGGCAGGGGAGGAGGGTGGGGCTTATGGGGGGATACAAAATGAATAAAGTGTAATTAATAAAAAAATACCTTTGTGGAGGCGATAGACGTTTTTAAGGATTAAGTTTCTTAGACTTACATTTTCTTTGGCCAATGTATCCATTTTTTTTCTATTGTATCTTCATTGACTGAAATTCTGTCTTCCATATCTACTATTTTGTTGAAGAAGCTTGCCTCTGTGGTTCCTGTTTCAGTTTCTAAATTTTTCTTTTTTATATTTCATTCAGTTTGAAATTCTTTATTGATTCTATATCCACACTGCAGTCTTGAGTTTTATTCATTTCTTTCCACTCTGTGTGTTTTCATATATTACTTTATGAAATCTATTCATTTCCTTTTTATTGACCGGTCTCTCCTTTTTATAGGTTTTGAAAAGGCCTTTTATTTTCAATTGAGCTATTAAATATTCAGTTCCTGAAGAAGTAAGGATGCCTGGCTCTAGTGGATAAATATTGTCCTTGTGTTACTGATTTTGTGTTTATGCACAAATTGCCTCTCAGCATCTGGGATTGGGAAGGTTGTAAATCTGAGTGTTTATATATGATTTTGTCTTGGCTATGTGGGTATTTTGTGCCTGGAATTTTTTTTTCTGATTCTTGGGAGATTTTCTGGCTGTGTGCAGCCTGTAGAACAATCTTATGGAATCTTCATGGGTGTGGACACTGGACGTTTCAGGTCAAATGTGTGTATGGGCATTGAGACCTGAGACTTAGGAATGGGAAAGAGGCTTGGGGCAGTTTAGGTACTTAAGAAGAAGGAGAAAAACAAGGTGTTCCTCCAGGGTCTGCTTAGTTAGTCTCCTGAGTATTGAGACAGAAAAAGGTGAGAGGCCACAGCAGGTTTACTAAAGACCTGGGGATGAGACCTGGATATTGAATTTAGAGAAAGAGTTGAAGATCTGTAGTTAGTCTAACTGCTTCCTGGCAGGAATGGCCTGTGGGTTTTCAGGGAGTGCCTGGTGGATATGGGGTTGGCATAAAGCAAGTAGTTGAGAGGGAGTTTAGAAGAAGCTCTTGGAATTTTTGGAGATGGGGGCAGGGAGAGAGGCTAGGCTGCTGGAGGTATTCTGTTGCAGGGCTGGGGATTTCATGGTGTGTTTGGTTGAAGGAGCAGAAGAAGAGGTGAAAATCTGGAGTTAGCCGACCTTATTCCATGCTATACATCCATATTCGATTTTTATTTGAGTATCTTTCTTAAACTCCTAGTGTACCTTGAAAAAAATTTACACTACTATGTCCTCAATTGACTAAAATGAGATACATTTGAAATTTACATATAACAACATATATAAAACATGTCTAATAACTGAGTGGACAGCATCTACTAGTCATATTCAGAAAGCAATTATTCATAAAATAAGCAGGGTATTTTGTTTCCTTTTGTTTTTTTCCACAGGCAGTAGCTTTTAAATTTGTCTATGTTTAGTCTTTCAACCGTTTTCCTCTCCTTCCTCTTCCTCTTCTTTGTCCTCTCCCTGTCCTCCCCCTCTTTTGACTTCTCTTTTTTTTTTTTTTCTTTCCTTCTTTTGGAGACTAAGTCTCACTATGAGGGTTAGAATGCCTTGAGCTTCTGGACTTGGGCGATTCTCCTGTACCAGCTTCCAAGGGCTGGGACCACAGGTGAGTACCACCTTGCCTGGCTTCTGATGGTTAATTTTACAAGTCCATTTGGTTAGGTCAGAGTGTTTTAGATATTTTGGAAAACAACCTGAATATTTTTCTGAAGATTTTGCTTGGGTATGTAGATGAGGTTATCTTAAATAAGAGGAATTTCAATAAACCAGTTCTACCCTCTGGTATGGTGAGCCTTGTTGGAATAGTGAATTATTTGCCACTATTGAACAAAGAAAGGTTTCCTACCAGAACTCCCTGAGTAGGGATTTTTTCCTAGATCTATAGCCAGGTCCTACTAGCTGGCATATTCTGCCTCCAAAATTCAGTGAGTTACTTTTGTTAAAGAAATCTCAAAGTGAATAAACTGTAATAAAAAGAAATGATTAAATTTATTAAACTTAAAATTAAAAAGTAACCTATTTCTTTTGTAGAAATTTTAGCGAAAAAACAGTGATTATTTTATGTAAGGAAACAAAGAAACATAGAAAAGAAATGTATCTCAACAAGGAAATTATTTTGAAAAATTGCTCTACCAGAGCTCAAACGGGGCTGTAACACACAGAGCTGAAGATGACTGGTTGTCTTTTAGTTCTCATGTAGATGGCTTTTCCACTTAAATTAGATTTCCTTTTCTTTTATGCTATAGACAAGTCTTTTGCCACATATAACTCTAATTTGATCAGTAATATTTTACAGTCTTCTGGAAAGGTAAATATATCTGTGCCCTTTTCTTTCTGAAGACAGCTCTCCTTGCAGGTCTGCAGAGCAACATTCCACTTATTTGAAAACTCCATTTCATTGATTCCAGACCTTAACTCTCCTCTTCTTGGGAGTATTCAACACTGAATGTTGTGAAAATAATTCTTGAACTTAGTTATACAGACTTTATTGTTGTAGACTAAGATTAGTGCTCCCAATTTTAAATGCCTGCATTGAAAACATTGAAAGCATAAGTGAAAAGAATCACAGATATCACCGGTATAAGAATTACAAGAAAGCTTAAATATCCACAACACATTCACACAATAATCACTGCCTTTGCTTGCATTCTTCCTGAGGTGGAGGAATAATTTTTTGCTTAAGTTGCTGTCTCTATCTTTGGGCAGTCATGTCTTCCTCCTTGATTTACCTAACATGAAGGTGCAGTGAAAATAACATTTAATAGTTCTTCAACAGTTATCCCCTCAGGTTTTTGTTAGTATTTCAGGGCTCTGGGTATCATGTAAGTCTCCTACAGATTATGACCCTCCCCCTGTCTTCAGGATCTTATTTTTATAAAAATCTACATCTTTAAAGGTATGTCTAAGGATCGTGAAATCTTTATAATTATGCTCTGACTCTCTGGGGTTAAGAGGAAACTACCATTTCACTATCTTAACACTACTATGTACCAAGCCTGAGTCTTTAGAGTGAATGCTGTGCTACTGCAGAAGAATGGGGTGAGGAAGTGATACTAAAGGCAAATTATGTTTGAGCAGAGTAAGACTACAGTATGTGTGTCAAGCACAGCATTCTAGAAGCTGTTCCCTAAGAACTATAAATGCAAAAATATTCTGGGAACTCATTCTCATGTGGTAAACAGTCAGCAACGAGCAGTGTGCCTATTCTGATGAAATCATGTAAAACCCTTCTTTATATGGGCTCTGTCTTGGTGCAAGCTTTCTAAGTACCCACTTGTGTTTGATGAAAAAAATTATGTAAAGAAACAGAAAAAAAATTGTGAATGTTTTGAAGATTTTCAGGCATATTGATTGAGGTAACAAATTGTTTAAAAAAATAGTCAACATTTACAACTTTCATGGGATTGTAGAGTTTTCTTTAAAAAAAAAAAAAAAGGGTATGCTTTAACAGTCTTACCAGAAGTTACTTGAAGATCTTAATTAGAAGGCTTTAGGTGAATCTCTAGTCTTGAGGCCTGGGCTAGGAATAGGTTAAAACTTGTGAGGCATAGGCATGCCATTGTATGCCAATGTAAACCACTACGAAAGATAGTCATGTTGCCTTAAGATATAAGGCATTGAGTCTGTAGATGGCTTTTGGCAGGATGGCCATTTTAACTTTGTTAATCTTAGTGATCCAGGAGCATGGGGGATCTTTTCATCTTCTACAATATTCTTTGATTTTTTTAAATTTTTTAATTTATTATAATTTATTCACTTGTAGCCCAGGTGTAGCCCCTCCCTCCCTCTTCTTCTCCCATGCTCTTTTTCTAGTCAACTTATAGGGAAGGTCCTTTTCTCACTCTATTGCTGGCTTTTGGATCACTTCCCCTGCAGGCTGCCTTGCCTGGCCTCGGGGATGAAGATATTCTTAGACATGATGTGACTTGATGTATTGGGTAGGGTTCATATAAGAAAGCTCTCTTTTTTGTGGGGGTGAATTAAGGCAAGAGGGGAAGAAGGAAGTAGATGAAGGGAGAACTAGGAGGAGAGGAGGGAGGTAGCACACTCCTTGGGATGTAAAGTAAATAAACTGAAATTTAAAAACACCAATGTACATAAAATAAAAATAAAATAAATTATTAAAAAATATATAAGACAGAGCTCATTGCCTGGCATGTCACATATCAATACTTCTGTTTACAAAACTGACATTCCAGTAGCATTCAATAGTAAGAATGCATCACTTAGTCATGTGTCTGCAAATTAGCTATACTTCAACAGATCAGAGTGAGACTGTTTGCACATGACTCTAAGCTTATGCTGGACCCTGGATACTCATTCTTTCTGTCTTGTTGTCTTCTGTTATGTTAACTACCTTCCACTCAGACAGTATCTATTGACAATCCTTTTGAAAGCATGGCACAAGGTGAGCCTGCCAAGATTTAGCAAGCAAAAACACCTTTTTATTTTTAAAAAAACAAAAAACAATATTAGAAAAATTGATGAGTATTTACAAATAAGAAAGATGTTATATAACCCACTTTTAAAATATAATTCAGGGGGGGGGGGCTGGAGAAATGGCTCAGAGTTTAAGAAAACTGGCTGTTCTTCCAAAGGTCCTGAGTTCAATTCCCAGCAACCACATATGAGGTGCCAATCCTCTTCCAATGCACAGGCACACATGCAGGCAGAATGTTTTATAAAAAATAAATAATAATAGATTAATAATCTATTAATAATAGATTAATAATAGATTTCTTAAAAATAATTCTGTATTATTTTATGGAAAACAAATGTTTAGGTTGGCAATTTCTCTGGGTAAAGTTCTACCTTCTGGAAAATCCCAGGAGACAACATTGCCACTTAATTCACATGTCATTGACCTTCAAATTTTCTGTGTTAGTTAATTTGCTTTCTAGAATCTAGTCCCACAGTTACTACTATAGATTTTAAGTTTCAGTTAAAAGTAACCCAATGGTGATTAGTATTCTAGTGCTACACAGCAAGCAATAGTCAATATTTTAACTACAAACAATGATAGACACCAACTTGTCTCTCACGGAATGTAAGTTGATTAGCCTTTGGCTGACTTACTACGAGCTAAGATTGTCGGGGTTATGTTCCTTATGGCCGCACATGTAATCCTCTTACCATATGAATATATTTTCTTCACAGTTTAAATACAAAGGACACAAAGACCTAACTCAAACATGCAAATAAATTTCAATTCTGACTAATTATAGTGTATAATATTATGAAATGGAACAAAAACTCATGGCCAGATACTAATATGATTGAAACAAGTTTTCTAAATTCTGCATTTCCACATGTCTGAGACTTTTCATTTACTTCTTCTAGCACAACAGCATCATCCTCAGCTAGAAGAATTTCACTGTAGGTTCTTCAGTCTTTTCTAGACATCTGTGCCCTATACATATACACAGCCTTCCAACCAGTAAGTGTAAAGTGATATCTGAAAGTTCTCATTGGCTTCATATTTCCATGAATACTCTGTTCGCATGACATATTGAATGACATGGAAATACAAACATCAAGGGGCTAAGGTGACAAGTAATGAAAATAAGAATATTCAAATCAACTGAAAGTAAGTAGAACTTTATCCATTGACAGGTTCTTGGTATGTAGTCCTGGCTGGCCAAGAGCTCAGAGAGAGTCACCTGTCTCTGTTTCTGAGGGCTGAAACTGCGGGTGTGTACCTCCATCCCTGGCTTGTGGTCCTTTCTTATTCAGCCCTGATTCACCTGCCTAGGACATCATTGTTCACAGTGAAGTAGATCCTCCTTAGTTAGCAAAGGAAAAAACATGCACCACAGGTGTGCCCATGGGCCAGCATGAAGCAGCAAATTGCACAACTGAATCACCACAGTAAAGATTCTTCAGCCTAGATAACAGAGGATAAAATTGGGCCTTGAATGTTTAGCTCTCTTTCTCTTTTTCCTAGGCACACATCTGAGGTTGGTGAGGGCACTTATCCTCTCTTCCTAGTTCCTAGCTGCACACTGTAAGATATGGAATATCTTATCTCTGTCAAGAACAGACTCTGCCATCATTGTGTCTGTATTCTCCCTGTCTCAAGAAGCAGTCTTTTCTACCTCCTTCTGAGTATAGTGATGAACACCTTCATGTTCCATGAAACATATACTTGACTAAAGTGTTCCCCCTTGCTCTCTAGAAGAAATCAGTTTAATATTATTGAATGCCCTGGGAAAGGCATTATAAAAATCAAAGGCTTATTTGGTTCTATACTCCAAATTAAAGTTTATTGCAGCAACTTCAAGGTTGAAAGATCTTGAAACAGTGAGTCACATTACATCCACAGACAACATCCAAGAGCTACGAAGTAGTGCATGCATGCTAGTACTCAGGTGACCCTGTCTATGTTACAGTTCAAGATCCTCTGCTCAGGACATTGTTCTACCCAAAAGTAAGATGAGTTTTCCCAGTTCAATTGTCTAAGGACAGTCCCTCACAGATAGGCTCAGAGACATTCTAAACCCCAGCAATCTCTCACAGATATCCTTGGTGGCCTGTTTCATCTGTGCAAAGATGACAATTAATTCTAATTCTAACATATTTTAATATGTTTGTATAAATAAAAAAACTCCTAAGTGTCACTTGGACTATATATTCCAGGATATCAGTAAAGAATATCTAAGGGATAATTTCAAGATAAACATAATTTCTTCTTCTAATCATAAATTATAAAGAACAAATCTTTGCTTGCAGCTACATACCACACTGGGTATCGATTTCAAAATAACCATTATGGTTCCTGTTTCCCCACAACACTGGTATGTCCATTATGCACAGGACCTCTTTTCTCTGCAGATCAGAAGCTGAGATCTCCTGAGTACAGACACTGGCAGAACAGGCTCCTTACAATGCTTCCCATGATCTCCTGGCCACACTCTCCTCACAGTGTCCTGCTGTTGACCCTGCTGCTGGGACTTACAGGTGAGCATGTCCCAGGAATAGCATCAACATCTTGCATCTGGGTGACCCCTGCCTTAGAAACTAAAGGACTCCAGTTGGCCACATGAACTGACCCAGGAAAGAAGGTCAGAACATTGTCTTAGGTCCTAGAACCAGAGCTCTGAGCATTGCTCTGCATGTCCATAAGTTTTAACAGTAAGTAGAAGCATCCCATGAGGTAATGCTTAAAAAGACAGTAGTTTCTGATATTTAAGTTGAAGAAAATATTTTAAGCAGAATTCTAATTAAATCACTCTATCTCTTTGGCCCATGGGAACCACCAGGTCACTTCCAATGCAGCTGGTAGGACCATTTGGCTCTGAGCTCAGCAATCTCTGCTCACTTCCTGAGACATAGAAGCTGACATGCAGGCCAGTGGCATGACTCTGAGTGAAGTGTGTCCTGCAATGCTCAGCCACCATTTCTTCTAAGTTAGGTTCCTTATTTTATCCTCTGACTTCTATTTGCTTTCTTACATGATCTCAGTCTTCTTATTTCATGCTGCTTCTTTAAGAGCCTGAACCATTATTTTGTTTTACCCAAAGCTATGTTCTGTTGCTAGGGTTGCCATGAAGGCGGGAGACCAGAGTCAAGGTGTCCACTGAGCTGATTTCTTCCAAGATGCCTCTCCTTTAATTTGTACTGTCTCATTCTCTCTTTATGCATGATCTCACCTCAGCCTGTCTCTGTGGATTTTCTCCATTTCCTGAAAGAAAAGTAGTCGCATTGGACTAAGAACCACCCAAATAGCTCCAATTGATCTTAACAACTCTTTAGAGACTCTGTACCATATACAGTCACATTATGGGGTTATGGCTTTGATATGTAGAATATAAGCAATTCATCAATAATAGGTCTCCACACATTCCTGATATTCTTGTTTTCTTTTATTATTATTATAACTTATTACAATTTATTCAATTTGTATCCTGGCTATGGCCCTCTCCCTCATCTCCCCAATCCTATCCTCTCTCTTTTTCTCCTCCTATGCCCCTACCCAAGTCCACTGGTAGGGGAGCTCCTCCTCCCTTTCCCTATGAAGATAACCAACCATGTCTCATCAGGTTGCTTTGTCTTCCTTTGTGGCCAGGCAAGGCTGCACCCCTCAGGAAGAGGCGATCAGAGTCCATGGCAGAGATAGCCCCTGTTCCCCTTTCTATGAACCCACTTGGAGACTGAATCTATAGGCTATTTCTGAGTTGGGGTTTTAGGTCTTTGCTTGGGATATTATTCTTTTCAGGGGACCCAGGGGCTCAGATTATTATTATTATTATTATTATTATTATTATTATTATTATTATTATTATT